GACCCAGGAAAGCCTTGCCATGCTTCTTCCGCCGAACCGCACCCGATGGACATCAAGCACATGCAGTTCAGATATACGAGCAGCGGTAGCCAAAGCTACCACGAAAGAATGTCTTGAATGTCACTTGGTCGAAGTCCTTGTCTTTTAAAGGTTTCATAATCTGTAGAAATCATATGACGAAGGATGACGGACAGATCCCAGGCCGGAGGTCTGAACTTCCTGGACTGGTCAGAGAATCTATAGGAGTGTAGTACACTCTGCAAATCGAGAACAGTGGAAATCTTTGTGCCTGTGGTGGTAGCCAAAACCGAGTTGATGGCGGCTAAGTAGGTAGCTAACGTAGTACCCTTGAGTTTCTTAGTAGTGCGGAGAAACTCAGCAACGACCTGAGCCGAGGTGGAAGTGGGAGATGCAATTCCCCTAACCTTGCAATAGTTTTCAAACTTCTTCCACTTGTTGTCATACAAGGAATGGGTCGAAGTACGATGAGCTGAAGTGATAGCTGTGGCTACTGGGCGAGAGTAGCCCTTAGCTATGAGAGACCTCTGAAGATGCGCCAAACGTGTAGATTGAGGATCTGAGGTGACCCTTGGCGCAGTTCCGTGTGAGGGTGAAGAAGTAGGTCGTCCCGGTTGGGAAGCTGTACTGGGTTTGGCTCTGCCAGGCTTCTTATGTTGATGAACCTTGTGGCAAACAGATCTATTTGAGGCCGTGATAACGGGTAGATCATCGACTGAAAGATCTGAGGCAGTAACTTCCACTCTGTCGGGGACGGTCGGTTGGATCAGGACAAGGCATTCGCATGTGTCTGGCTCTGGCTACGATGTTAAGTGAGTCGATGAGATGGAAGAACCTGATCGCCCATTGTAGCAGATTCGCCGAGCCTGTCGAGCCTAGATGATTTATATACCAAACCACTGTCGAATTGTCTGATTGGATCAACAGACTGGTTGATTGAAGCTCTGTTGCCCAATGTGAGATGGCTTTAATTACCGCCTTGAATTCCAGCTCGTTTATATGAAGTACCCGTTCGTCGGATGACCACAGCCCGGCCACTTGGTGGTCGAGGAAGTGAGCTCCCCAACCCATGAGGGATGCATCGACGAATAGGTGATGAGTTGGTGCAAAGGGCATCATAGAGACTCCGGCACAAACATTCCGTTTGTCGAGCCACCATTGAAGGACTGGACGAAGCGGTTCTGGAAGGCAAAATTCCACGGGGCCGTGGAAATTCCAAATGGTAGGACTTTCCATTGGAAGGTACTTCCGGTGTTCTGGATGTATCGGAACGTGAAGATAAGCATCCTGAAGATCTAGGCTGATGAGGAAGTCTCCCTTCTTCAGGATGGTGCGTAAAAGGTTGATCGACACCATCCTGAAGTGAGGTGGTGGAAGCAGGAATCGGGCATTGATCAACTTCATATTGAAGATGAGCCAGAGTTTTGTTGGAATTTTTCTTTGAAACCAAGAAGATGTGAGGGAGTAGAATCCTGGAGTGACGGGCGATGGACCTACAAGCTCTATCGCGAGTTTGTCTAATAGCATACCTATTGTGGATTGCAGAGTCTGAAACTGGTCCACAGGATATGAGCGATGAGCCGGATGCGACGTCAGAGGTGGACTGCCAATAACGGGTAGCTGATAGCCGTGAAGTAGCAGGTTGGTGATGTACGGATCTCTGAGGATGGTCCAATTCTGGGTGAAGATCTGTAATCTCCCGCCTACCGGAGTGTTGTAAATCAGAACGACTGGGGCGGAAGGAACGGGAGGAACCACCACGGCCAGATCTGTTTCCTCTGCCACGGCCTTGAGTGGATGCGCCACGAAAAAAATTGCGTAAATCTGGATTGGTAGGGGTGAACTGTGCAGTTTGACGCTGTTTTAATGAGTCCTGGAGCTGTAACTTCTGTTTCTTTAACAGTTCAATCGAGACTTGAAAGTGGGTTTCTTTATCAACTTTAGTAGATACTTCATGGATGCTAGCATTGAAGAGGGAGTCAGTAAACCAAGGCTGGAGAAACAGTTCTGTTTTAATCGCTCCTCCCATGAACAGATGTTAAGGGGTGCACATCGGCGAACAGCAAGAGTGTAGCCCAAGAAATGAGACAACTGATCCAGGACAATTTGGAACTGGTCCAGAGCTAAAGTCATGCATCCTCGGATGTAAGCATCTTGATCAGAATAAGTATGCTCCAGAGCAGTGTTAACAGCGTCAACTGCTGCAATCACGCAACTAATAGATGGCAACGTCTTTCTCACAGCTGAATCCATGTGAGCCAAATCTTGGTCCTCAATAAGGTAGGTCGAAGCAGCTTGTTTGCCACACAAGGTTCCAATATCCTCATCAACTGTTGGAGCCTTAGAGATTTTTGTTAGGCCGTAGACATGAGAGGTAGACGGATTATATCTGGGAGCAGAGAATCCGTCCTTAATTCGTTCAGGCTCTTGAAACCATCATTTAGTGTACTGGATAATTTCAGAATACAAGGTCGAAGTGGTAGGGTGATGGTAGACCAATCCCGATTCCTAAGAGTATAAGAGTGATCCAGGTCATCTGCTGAAGTACTCAAGGGAAGTTGGAGCTTCTCAACAATCCAAAGGAGTACCTGAGGTGTCTCAACTGCTGCAAAGCTACCCCCAGGGGTAGATAACTCAGAGTGAGCGGGAGATGCAGGCATGGCTATTTGGACTGGATCAATCTCAGGAGGTGGACCAGATGAAGAGCCAGGAGCTACCGAAGCCGGATGGGCTGGAGTAGAAGGCTGTATTTTGTTCCAGGCTGAGGTTATGGCCCTAATCATCATATTTAGATCTGGAGTCGCTGTAGGAGTGGGATTGTTATCAGGTTCCCATGACTCAGCGATGATCCTAGAGTGAGTCGAAGGATTCTCAGAGCGTGTAGACGGAACATCGTAAGAGACTGTAGGCCTATTAGTGGAATCAGAGCAATGATCACCCGAACGTCGGTCAGAGGAACTGTATCGAGATCTCGACGTGGTAAGTACCGGAGTAGGTGGTAAGCCGGTGATCTGGATTCCCTAGTATGGCTAGGTGATCCGGTATGATATGAAGAACTAGTCTAGGTCGCTGTAGTTCTAGTTGGTGATCTGGTTCTGATTGGAGCTCTGGTTTCGACCATCTGAATAGGATCGGCCATGAGATGTGGATCTGTACGGTGATCCCGATTGGTCAATGGCTCTGTAAGGTGATCTAGATCGTATAGGTGACCTGGGTTGGAAAGATGATCTGGATTTGTAAAGTGATCTGGATCGATTCGAGGCACTAACAGGAAACTGTGATCGTGATCTGGATCTATAAGGTGATCTGGTTTGCAGTTGCGATCTGGCTTGATTTGGTGATCTAGGTGGTTAGGTGATCAACTTTGATGTTGTGATCTGGATCGGTTCAGTGATCTGGATTGGTCTGGCGATCTACTTCGATGTTGTGATCTGGATCAGTTCATAAATAAAGGCGACCTAGATCGGTCCGGTGATCTGATTCGAAGTTGTGATCTGGATCCATTGGGTGATCTGGATCGGTCCGATGATCTACTTCGATGTTGTGATCTGGATCGGTTCGGTGATCTGGATCGGCTAGGTGATCTGGATTGATCAGGTGATGTGGATCATACTTGTGCTCTGGATCGTGACTGTGATCTGGATCGATCCGGTGATCTAGATCGGGTTTGTGATGGTTATCTGGATCGTGAAGGTGATCTAGAATGATGTGTTGATCTGGATCGGCGATTAGGTGACAAAACCTGAAGTGTTGATTCATGATGAACGTCCCCCGGCGACGCTGTTGTAGCCAGCTCCGTCCAGTTCCATGAACTGTGGGGGAACAGTTGGCTGGTTGAACGCAGTTGGCCAGGCTCCAAACAAACTGAGACAGTCGAGGGGATATGTACCGATGATCTGGATGATGATAGTGTCAATCTAAGGTCCCCTGGTAGTGTAGATGGGACAGGCAACGATGAATTATCGATCACAACCACCCGCGAGTGATCTGACGCTATGGAAGGAGGTGATTGATGCGTACGAAATAGGTGCCGAACGTCCTCAGATAAGTAAGAATCTGATGAAGCGTCCATAAAATCCTCTTGAACCGCAGACGCCGCTCTTCTTGCGCGAAGGTACGATTTTCTGTCGCTGTAACTTGATACGCTTGGCGGGAGTGGGATCAGATTCTGTTGATTTCCTGTCCCTATCGGCGATTCTCCCGGGAGCAAACACGAAGGTAGGCCTTGATATCCTCATCTTTTTAGTGAATTACACTTGCCACATCGTTTGTTCCAGTTACATTGTCCAATACAGTCACTGCAAGACGAGTGAGGGTCGAGGGACGTATAATTCGTCTTGCATTGAGCACAAACTTTCCTTTTCCTTGACTGATTATCTGTTTTCCCCCATGATGTTAGGGTGAAATAATGTCCCTAATATACAGCACGTCCACACAGTCGTGCGACAAGAAAGAGAATGATCATTCAAGGTAGTCACGTGGGCAATTAGTGGAGCATGCTGCAAGCTTTATTAGCAACTAGGAAGCTAATTAAGGAGAGCAGCATGGAGTGCACGGGCAAATGGACAAGGAGGCCTATGGAAGAAAGTTTACAGTCGTTCCACTAAAAGTCGAAGAAAGAGAGAGAGGTGCAAGTTGCAGATAGGATAAGTTTAAAAATTTCATCAATTACTTGAGCTGTCTGTAAAAAACTGATTTGACAGTCACATCAACACAGATGCTAATATATATGAAGCAGCAATTCTTTATCTGGTGCTGGTGTTATCCACATGTATTTATCAGCCACTACTTACATGACTAAACCAACATGTCCAGGACATATCCCAGGACAAAACAGGAGGAATGGCAGTGATGTATTGGAAGTTGAACTGAACTTATTCTGCCTGGTGTTTTTAAAAACTATTCACCTAATCATATACTAACCAACTGGGCTGATTTAGTTCTGGCTGAAATAAAGCAAACAAACAGCAGAAGAGTATTACCCTGTTACAGTCCTGCAGTCATGATCGAGAATAAGCTGGGCAATTGAAGTCACTTGCAGTGTCGTGTCCAAACCCTCTGACCCATGAACCAACACAGTGGCTCCTGCAAAGTTTACAAAACTCATTGAAACATGTGCAGTGACATGACTCAAAAGTTGTTTGCATTGCACAAACATTGTACTTCATCAGTGTATCTACCCTGGATATACAGGTAACAGCTGGAAAACAAAGGGACAGACACTGGACAAAGGATTCTGTCAGAATATTGATATGATACATAACATGTACCGCATAGATACTAACAATGAAGTTTGATGTATGCAACAAAATATGACATTTACATAATAAGAAGAATACATGCCAAAGCAAAGCTTTCTGAGTGATGAAATGTGATGAATATGCATTTTGGGAGGATTTTAGAGCATGGTTTGAACATTGTAAAAGTTTTACATGATACAAAAGAGACCTTACCTAAGTATACAAATCATATTCACAACATTATCATTGTGTTGTTGTCAAAATGAATTTGAAGAGAATTAACAACATGTTCCAAATAGCAAAGATGAAATTTTAACATATCATAAAAAACAGCTTATGCGTTGAACCCCACTTCCAACAACACATATACCAATCTTAATGATTAAAACAAGAGTCATCAGAAGATGACATACCCCACCGATCATCATAAATTTGAAAGAACAAATCATCTGACAGTTACTTAAAGTCCAACTTGATGAGAGAATTTCTGTCTAATCTGTCCATCCATATACAAGAGTAGTTATTGAGCTATCAAAACAATAACATCGAATTGGGATTCGTAACTTTGTGCTTCTATGTCAGGACAAACCAATATCAATGTCAAAGAAAAAACTACAAATTTTAAAAATCCCTAAGGGCAGCAGTTGACAACCTTGTTTTTTGTTTGGGCACAGTTTTATGAAAGAATACCTTGTACTCTTTCGACAAACACACCTCTATGAACAGATTTAAAGTCAAACTTGTTGCCATGGAAGCAGGAAACATATTCATTTTCTTAGAATTTATAAATAGCAAAAGACAATCAAAACCTGTTCAATGTTTTTCCAACAAAATTGGCAGATATATCAGACAGAACCTAAAGTGGTGCCTTTTGCTATTTACAGATTTTCTGCATATACTAATTGCCACATGTAGCAGGCTGGGATGGAAAGTCTTTGAAGTTTTTTAGCAGTGCTCCGGAAAGGAAATCCACCTCCTCTCTTTTGAGACTAAGTCTAAATTGTTCATGGAAATCGCAAAAAATCAAAATGCCAAAAACCCATAAACAGCAAAAGGCATCAATTCGGGATCTGTTTGACATATTTGCCAAGTTTTGTTGAAAGATAGTGAACCGAGTTGTGCTCTGGTTTAAAGTCTATCCCATCCTTTAGTCCAAATCATTTCCATGGAAACAAACAAAAATTTAAATACCAAAAATTCAGGATCTGTTAGATACATCTGCCAATTTTGGTTAAAAAACATTGAATGCTTTTTTAGTTATTCTCCGGAAATGAAATGATGACTGACTGACTGATGGACAGACAGACAAGGCATTGACTATATCTCCACTATATGCCAGGGGGATAAAAATACTCACCTCTCATTTCTGACCAAGATACCTTGCATGGAACAATATATGTAGACAATATGACCCACCAAGTTTCACAATTGTGACATCATCGCTCACATGTGTTCAGCTGTTTGCTACTTTTAGCATATTTTCTCAGACAACTACATACATTAATCTTCATCTCATATAAAAGATGTCTTGAGTCAGAGGAAATACAATTCATAGGATATGGTAAATCATCATGATGTTTTATCACCAAATTTACATTGTCACTGGCTTAGTTTTTGCTTTCTTCTGTTTATACTCCTGACTGTGAGTGACTGAATCTGATAGGGCATGACCTTCATTGTGACCAAGTTTCAGTGGCATGCAGGTGGTGCTCCAGGTCCGTCTTTCAGGTTTCAGTGGCATGCAGGAGGTGCTCCAGGTCTGTCTTTCAGGTTTCAGTGGCATGCAGGAGGTGCTCCAGGTCCGTCTTTCAGCTTTCAGTGGCATGCAGGAGGTGCTCCAGGTCCGTTTTCAGGTTTCAGTGGCATGCAAGAGGTGCTCCAGGTCCGTCTTTCAGGTTTCAGGGGCATGGAGGAGGTGCTCCAGGTCTGTCTTTCAGGTTTCAGTGGCATGCAGGAGGTGCTCCAGGTCTGTCCTTCAGGTTTCAGTGGCATGCAGGAGGTGCTCCAGGTCTGTCTTTCAGGTTTCAGTGGCATGCAGGAGGTGCTCCAGGTCCGTTTTCAGGTTTCAGTGGCATGCAGGTGGTGCTCCAGGTCCGTCTTTCAGGTTTCAGTGGCATGCAGGTGGTGCTCCAGGTTCATCTTTCAGGTTTCAGTGGCATGGAGGAGGTGCTCCAGGTCCGTCTTTCAGGTTTCAGTGGCATACAAGAGGTGCTCCAGGTCTGTCTTTCAGGTTTCAGTGGCATGGAGGAGGTGCTCCAGGTCTGTCTTTCAGGTTTCAGTGGCATGCAGGAGGTGCTCCAGGTCTGTCCTTCAGGTTTGAGTGGCATGCAGGAGGTGCTCCAGGTCCGTCTTTCAGGTTTCAGGGGCATGGAGGAGGTGCTCCAGGTCTGTCCTTCAGGTTTCAGTGGCATGCAGGAGGTGCTCCAGGTCTGTCTTTCAGGTTTCAGTGGCATGCAGGAGGTGCTCCAGGTCCGTTTTCAGGTTTCAGTGGCATGCAAGAGGTGCTCCAGGTCCATCTTTCAGGTTTCAGTCATGGAGGAGGTGCTCCAGGTCTGTCTTTCAGGTTTCAGTGGCATGCAGGAGGTGCTCCAGGTCCGCTCTTTCAGCTTTCAGTGGCATGCAGGAGGTGCTCCAGGTCTGTCTTTCAGGTTTCAGTGGCATGCAGGAGATGCTCCAGGTCCGTCTTTCAGGTTTCAGTGGCATGCAGGAGGTGCTCCAGGTCTGTCCTTCAGGTTTCAGTGGCTTGCAGGAGGTGCTCCAGGTCCGTCTTTCAGGTTTCAGTGGCATGCAGGAAGTGCTCCAGGTCCGTTTTCAGGTTTCAGTGGCATGCAGGTGGTGCTCCAGGTCCGTCTTTCAGGTTTCAGTGGCATGCAGGTGGTGCTCCAGGTTCATCTTTCAGGTTTCAGTGGCATGGAGGAGGTGCTCCAGGTCCGTTTTCAGGTTTCAGTGGCATACAAGAGGTGCTCCAGGTCTGTCTTTCAGGTTTCAGTGGCATGGAGGAGGTGCTCCAGGTCTGTCTTTCAGGTTTCAGTGGCATGCAGGAGGTGCTCCAGGTCTGTCCTTCAGGTTTCAGTGGCATGCAGGAGGTGCTCCAGGCCCGTCTTTCAGGTTTCAGGGGCATGGAGGAGGTGCTCCAGGTCTTTCTTTCAGGTTTCAGTGGCATGCAAGAGGTGCTCCAGGTCTGTCCTTCAGGTTTCAGTGGCATGCAGGAGGTGCTCCAGGTCTGTCTTTCAGCTTTCAGTGGCATGCAGGAGGTGCTCCAGGTCCGTTTTCAGGTTTCAGTGGCATGCAAGAGGTGCTCCAGGTCCATCTTTCAGGTTTCAGTCGCATGGAGGAGGTGCTCCAGGTCTGTCTTTCAGGTTTCAGTGGCATGCAGGAGGTGCTCCAGGTCCGTCTTTCAGCTTTCAGTGGCATGCAGGAGGTGCTCCAGGTCTGTCTTTCAGGTTTCAGTGGCATGCAGGAGATGCTCCAGGTCCGTCTTTCAGGTTTCAGTGGCATGCAGGAGGTGCTCCAGGTCTGTCCTTCAGGTTTCAGTGGCTTGCAGGAGGTGCTCCAGGTCTGTCTTTCAGGTTTCAGTGGCATGCAGGAGGTGCTCCAGGTCCGTTTCAGGTTTCAGTGGCATGCAGGTGGTGCTCCAGGTCCGTCTTTCAGGTTTCAGTGGCATGCAGGTGGTGCTCCAGGTTCATCTTTCAGGTTTCAGTGGCATAGAGGAGGTGCTCCAGGTCCGTTTTCAGGTTTCAGTGGCATACAAGAGGTGCTCCAGGTCCGTCTTTCAGGTTTCAGTGGCATGGAGGAGGTGCTCCAGGTCTGTCTTTCAGGTTTCAGTGGCATGCAGGAGGTGCTCCAGGTCTGTCCTTCAGGTTTCAGTGGCATGCAGGAGGTGCTCCAGGTCCGTCTTTCAGGTTTCAGGGGCATGGAGGAGGTGCTCCAGGTCCGTCTTTCAGGTTTCAGTGGCATGCAGGAGGTGCTCCAGGTCTGTCTTTCAGGTTTCAGTGGCATGCAGGAGGTGCTCCAGGTCTGTCTTTCAGGTTTCAGTGGCATGCAGGAGGTGCTCCAGGTCCGTTTTCAGGTTTCAGTGGCATGCAGGTGGTGCTCAAGGTCCGTCTTTCAGGTTTCAGTGGCATGCAGGTGGTGCTCCAGGTTCATCTTTCAGGTTTCAGTGGCATGGAGGAGGTGCTCCAGGTCCGCTTTCAGGTTTCAGTGGCATGCAAGAGGTGCTCCAGGTCCGTCTTTCAGGTTTCAGGGGCATGGAGGAGGTGCTCCAGGTCTGTCTTTCAGGTTTCAGTGGCATGCAAGAGGTGCTCCAGGTTCATCTTTCAGGGGCATGGAGGAGGTGCTCCAGGTCCGTTTTCAGGTTTCAGTGGCATGCAAGAGGTGCTCCAGGTCTGTCTTTCAGGTTTCAGGGGCATGGAGGAGGTGCTCCAGGTCTGTCTTTCAGGTTTCAGTGGCATGCAGGAGGTGCTCCAGGTCTGTCTTTCAGTGGCATGCAGGAGGTGCTCCAGGTCTGTCTTTCAGGTTTCAGTGGCATGCAGGAGGTGCTCCAGGTCCGTCTTTCAGGTTTCAGGGGCATGAAGGAGGTGCTCCAGGTCTGTCTTTCAGGTTTCAGTGGCATGCAAGAGGTGCTCCAGGTCTGTCCTTCAGGTTTCAGTGGCATACAAGAGGTGCTCCAGGTCCGTCTTTCAGGTTTCAGTGGCATGGAGGAGGTGCTCCAGGTCTGTCCTTCAGGTTTGAGTGGCATGCAGGAGGTGCTCCAGGTCCGTCTTTCAGGTTTCAGGGGCATGGAGGAGGTGCTCCAGGTCTGTCCTTCAGGTTTCAGTGGCATGCAGGAGGTGCTCCAGGTCTGTCTTTCAGGTTTCAGTGGCATGCAGGAGGTGCTCCAGGTCCGTTTTCAGGTTTCAGTGGCATGCAAGAGGTGCTCCAGGTCCATCTTTCAGGTTTCAGTCGCATGGAGGAGGTGCTCCAGGTCTGTCTTTCAGGTTTCAGTGGCATGCAGGAGGTGCTCCAGGTCCGTCTTTCAGCTTTCAGTGGCATGCAGGAGGTGCTCCAGGTCTGTCTTTCAGGTTTCAGTGGCATGCAGGAGATGCTCCAGGTCCGTCTTTCAGGTTTCAGTGGCATGCAGGAGGTGCTCCAGGTCTGTCCTTCAGGTTTCAGTGGCTTGCAGGAGGTGCTCCAGGTCCGCTCTTTCAGGTTTCAGTGGCATGCAGGAAGTGCTCCAGGTCCGCTTTCAGGTTTCAGTGGCATGCAGGTGGTGCTCCAGGTCCGTCTTTCAGGTTTCAGTGGCATGCAGGTGGTGCTCCAGGTTCATCTTTCAGGTTTCAGTGGCATGGAGGAGGTGCTCCAGGTCCGTTTTCAGGTTTCAGTGGCATACAAGAGGTGCTCCAGGTCTGTCTTTCAGGTTTCAGTGGCATGGAGGAGGTGCTCCAGGTCTGTCTTTCAGGTTTCAGTGGCATGCAGGAGGTGCTCCAGGTCTGTCCTTCAGGTTTCAGTGGCATGCAGGAGGTGCTCCAGGCCCGCCTTTCAGGTTTCAGGGGCATGGAGGAGGTGCTCCAGGTCTTTCTTTCAGGTTTCAGTGGCATGCAAGAGGTGCTCCAGGTCTGTCCTTCAGGTTTCAGTGGCATGCAGGAGGTGCTCCAGGTCTGTCTTTCAGCTTTCAGTGGCATGCAGGAGGTGCTCCAGGTCCGCTTTCAGGTTTCAGTGGCATGCAAGAGGTGCTCCAGGTCCATCTTTCAGGTTTCAGTCGCATGGAGGAGGTGCTCCAGGTCTGTCTTTCAGGTTTCAGTGGCATGCAGGAGGTGCTCCAGGTCCGTCTTTCAGCTTTCAGTGGCATGCAGGAGGTGCTCCAGGTCTGTCTTTCAGGTTTCAGTGGCATGCAGGAGATGCTCCAGGTCCGTCTTTCAGGTTTCAGTGGCATGCAGGAGGTGCTCCAGGTCTGTCCTTCAGGTTTCAGTGGCTTGCAGGAGGTGCTCCAGGTCTGTCTTTCAGGTTTCAGTGGCATGCAGGAGGTGCTCCAGGTCCGTTTTCAGGTTTCAGTGGCATGCAGGTGGTGCTCCAGGTCCGTCTTTCAGGTTTCAGTGGCATGCAGGTGGTGCTCCAGGTTCATCTTTCAGGTTTCAGTGGCATAGAGGAGGTGCTCCAGGTCCGCTTTTCAGGTTTCAGTGGCATACAAGAGGTGCTCCAGGTCCGCTCTTTCAGGTTTCAGTGGCATGGAGGAGGTGCTCCAGGTCTGTCTTTCAGGTTTCAGTGGCATGCAGGAGGTGCTCCAGGTCTGTCCTTCAGGTTTCAGTGGCATGCAGGAGGTGCTCCAGGTCCGTCTTTCAGGTTTCAGGGGCATGGAGGAGGTGCTCCAGGTCCGTCTTTCAGGTTTCAGTGGCATGCAGGAGGTGCTCCAGGTCTGTCTTTCAGGTTTCAGTGGCATGCAGGAGGTGCTCCAGGTCTGTCTTTCAGGTTTCAGTGGCATGCAGGAGGTGCTCCAGGTCCGTTTTCAGGTTTCAGTGGCATGCAGGTGGTGCTCAAGGTCCGTCTTTCAGGTTTCAGTGGCATGCAGGTGGTGCTCCAGGTTCATCTTTCAGGTTTCAGTGGCATGGAGGAGGTGCTCCAGGTCCGTTTTCAGGTTTCAGTGGCATGCAAGAGGTGCTCCAGGTCCGTCTTTCAGGTTTCAGGGGCATGGAGGAGGTGCTCCAGGTCTGTCTTTCAGGTTTCAGTGGCATGCAAGAGGTGCTCCAGGTTCATCTTTCAGGGGCATGGAGGAGGTGCTCCAGGTCCGTTTTCAGGTTTCAGTGGCATGCAAGAGGTGCTCCAGGTCTGTCTTTCAGGTTTCAGGGGCATGGAGGAGGTGCTCCAGGTCTGTCTTTCAGGTTTCAGTGGCATGCAGGAGGTGCTCCAGGTCTGTCTTCAGGTTTGAGTGGCATGCAGGAGGTGCTCCAGGTCTGTCTTTCAGGTTTCAGTGGCATGCAGGAGGTGCTCCAGGTCCGTCTTTCAGGTTTCAGGGGCATGAAGGAGGTGCTCCAGGTCTGTCTTTCAGGTTTCAGTGGCATGCAAGAGGTGCTCCAGGTCTGTCCTTCAGGTTTCAGTGGCATACAAGAGGTGCTCCAGGTCCGTCTTTCAGCTTTCAGTGGCATGCAGGAGGTGCTCCAGGTCTGTCTTTCAGGTTTCAGTGGCATGCAAGAGGTGCTCCAGGTCCGTCTTTCAGGTTTAAGTGGCATGGAGGAGGTGCTCCAGGTCTGTCTTTCAGGTTTCAGTGGCATGCAGGAGGTGCTCCAGGTCTGTCCTTCAGGTTTCAGTGGCATGCAGGAGGTGCTCAGTGTCTGACTTTCAGGTTTCAGTGGCATGCAGGAGGTGCTCCAGGTCCGTCTTTCAGGTTTCAGTGGCATGCAGGAGGTGCTCCAGGTCTGTCTTTCAGGTTTCAGTGGCATGCAGGTGGTGCTCCAAGTCCGTCTTTCAGGTTTCAGTGGCATGCAGGAGATGCTCCAGGTCCGTCTTTTAAGTTTCAGGGGCATCGAGGAGGTGCTCCAGGTCTGTCTTTCAGTGGCATGGAGGAGGTGCTCCAGGTCTGTCTTTCAGGTTTCAGGGGCATAGAGGAGGTGCTCCAGGTCCGTCTTTCAGGTTTCAGGGGCATAGAGGAGGTGCTCCAGGTTCATCTTTCAGGTTTCAGTGGCATGCAAGAGGTGCTCCAGGTCTGTCTTTCAGGTTTCAGTGGCATGCAGGAGATGCTCCAGGTCCGTCTTTCAGGTTTCAGTGGCATGCAGGAGGTGCTTCAGGTCTGTCTTTCAGGTTTCAGTGGCATGCAGGTGGTGCTCCATGTTCTTCTTTCAGGTTTCAAGGGCATGCAGGTGGTGCTCCAGGTCCATCTTTCAGGTTTCAGGGGCATGGAGGAGGTGCTTCATGTCTGTCTTTCAGGTTTCAGTGGCATGCAGGTGGTGCTCCAGGTCCATCTTTCAGGTTTCAGGGGCATGGAGGAGGTGCTCCATGTCTGTCTTTCAGGTTTCAGTGGCATGCAGGTGGTGCTCCAGGTCCGTCTTTCAGGTTTCAGTGGCATGCAGGAGGTGCCCCAGGTCTGTCTTTCAGGTTTCAGTGGCATGCAGGTGGTGCTCCATGTTCTTCTTTCAGGCTACCGATACTGGTCAGATGACCTTGGCGCTTCATTGGACTGACCAAAATGTGCTTTACGACACTATCACTGGGAAATACATTGTGCAATATATCTGAGCATTGCATTAAAGCAGTGGACAATTTCAGGCTAAACCTACCATGTATGTGTGAGCTGCTTAATTTCACTTACCTTCTTTATCCACACACTGGGCAACAACACAAGCACATGTCAGGATGTCCTTTACATGAGTGAGCCAGTTGCTGGATTCCAACTTGGATAACCATTTGTCCATGCTAGCACCACCATCACTGGTTGCTACAATAATCAAATTGTTCATTCAAACCTTGTACCACTCATATGCAAGAAATAACTTTAAGTTACTTTAAGCAAAAGTTTTGGGCTGGTTTAGGACAAATAAGCATATAACAGTGATTATGCAGAAGCACCCACAGGTATCCTCACATAAGAAGACACATTCAAGTGGTACCATTCTACAAAGGACAACCCCACATATCAGTTTTCTGGCATCAGAGAGGAACTTCAAACAGCAACACAGGGGCAAAAACATGCCCATTCCCACAGGCAGCTGTGAGTGACGGAACTTACAGCTTACAGATATTCAAAGTTGTTCCGCAGCATACTAACCTGGTTTGGTCAGTGACTGAAGTTACAGACTGACTTCAACATAATGCCAACAGCGAGAACAGTTGGTGACACTACCAGTAGTAACCATACTCATATCTCATGCAGACTATTGCGAGTTTATGATGTCACCACTGGTTACTCAAAGCTGTCATACAGACACAAATTCCTTTTCCTTTGATGTTCCCAGCCTGTAGGCAATCGATTAAATAAAAAAGGACCTAACATGATGGGCAATAAAAAAACTGTTTTAATTGTAATTTTGACATGATGAACAGAGAGACTGTTTTTATTTTGATGCAATGCATTAACATATGTTATATTTGGGATTACACTTTCTTTGTAAAGTACAGATTCTAGTACTTTTGTTGGATTGAGTGCCATCCCCCTCAGAGTCAGGCACCTAATCGCCAGCACACAATAGTTTGTGTGAAATCATAAGAATACCACCTCTATGACATCAGTAGTCCCTCCCACCACCCCAGTAATTCTGAGTTAAGGATGTTTGATTGGTCAGGTAAAGTGTTGATGTCAGGTTGTACAGAAAGACACTCAACCTATCATTATTTGGAGTTAAGCCCATTTCTGGTGTCCCCCGCTGATATTGCTGGAATATTGCTAAAAGCGGCGTAAAACTAAACTCAGTCAGTCAGTCAGTCATTATTTGGAAGAGTTGAAAGGTGAGTCAGCAGCAACAGTATCATTATTACTATTTGAGTTCAAACACAACCATGAATAATGAGATTCTTGAAACTGGAACATTTCCATGCCTTCCATCAGCTTGATGAGAGAGTCGTGGAATGCCTGTCTCCTTTCTACTGGCTGATGAATTCTCCGCCACTGTGAGTAATGTGCTTCTGGTTCATATCCTCCTCCTGAAATAACAGTCAAACCAAACGAATGCTTTCAACAGATAGCCATATTGAAAATCAAACATCTTTCACAAGTTGGTATATATCATTATTGGTGGGAACAATTACATGAAGTTTTAACTTCCATGGTTAAGTTGTTTCTGAGGGGATGGTGTTTACAACAGCTGACGGACGCCTGACATGTCATAATTTAAGCCCACTTGACTTTGAGTCAGGTAAGCAATATGATACATTCCCACCTGTGTTTCCACAAACATGACTCTTTGAGCTCACTTCTTGCTGGAGGTGACTATTGAGGGGGAAACAACAATCGCAATAGCGATAGTCTATTGCAGCATACTATTGCATTTATACTATGGTGTTCATATTTGCATATTTTCCAAAACATCCTAGATGATTCTTGGTTTATCATCAAAATGTCAGTATTATCATTGGTGATTCGATGAAAAGCAGATATCAGTGATCACCAATGCACTGTTTGAAATTCAATTCTCAGAGTAAAAATGTAATTTTCCACTTTTTCTTTTTAAAAGCGGACGTAAAATCATCACTCACCCGCGAGTAGTCTCCCTTGCCTTCTTTGGCGCCCTTTTTGGTCACATGACCAGCTATGTTTGTCACTCTCTCCGTTTGTACGCCCGACACCCGGATTAACAGGGAAATCCAGAGTGCCCTGAGAGGAGAGGTTGGGAGGGCTGACCTGAGTCAGGATAAGTATAAAATCAAGTATATCAATCTTAGTCAGAAAATTACATATTTTTCCTTATCCTGACATTTTCATGTGGATTTTAGATAATGTAATTTTCTGAATAAAATTGATATTTTATACTTATCCTGACTCATGCTTATTGCTTGTCTCCCTTTCCTTCCGAATGCTAGTGGAACACTTGAATCCCCTTTTGAAGCTCCCTTCAAAAAAGCGGACGTAAAATCACTTACCAGCAGTCACCTCCCTTGCTAAGGTTTTGTCGGGAACGGCGCCACCCGTCTCCCATGCTCTTCACTCTCTCCGTATTTATAGCCAGATACACTGATTTACTGGGAAATCCAGAGTGCCTTGAGGGGAGGTTGGGAGGGCTTACCTCATGAGTCAGGATAAGTATAAAATGTCAATTTTAGTCAGAAAATTACATATTTTTCCTTATCCTCACTCATGCTTATTGCTTGTAGAATCCGACGGTATAGGTGGTGGGTCAAGCCACCTCTGGATTCCTTAGTGATGAATTTACGTCCTATATACACCCATGGGAACTTTAAATGGCACTGCTGCTGTTGATCCATATGTCGAAATAGTTTGGTAATTTGGGGGGACCACAATATATCAATATATACTCTTCTGTAACCGTACATGTGGATTTAAATAACTCCAACTCTTGATGTTCGTATCAAGTGGAGTAGTGACCCTATCCGTGTACAAGTAATTCCTTACAAGTACAGGGTCCAATATTCATGCTAGTCTGTTCTAGACGTGTACATGGACTATAAGCTCTATTCCTTGGAGTACGAACTTTGCATGACATGCGGTAAAAGGGCGAGATACACCTCAGCGCCTTTGAGGGACCGTCAGCTGTTGAGCTACAACCAGAGGTCCAAACTGGTGGATACCGGAGACGTCCTCCGCAGCAATGTCTCTGAGGTAGTGGTTAGCAAATACTGTCTCCGATTTCCCAAAACACCCTTCCATGATCGTGGATATTGAGCAGTTTCCATGTAGAGCGAGTGTAGATGCCAGTGCTCTAACTTCGTGCGGATTGGAGGCTCTAGGAGGCTCAAGTCCTGCTGCCTTGTAGGCTCGTGGAGGCTCAAGTATGATTGCTCTCATCCAAACTGATATCGTAGTACGTGAGATCTCTGTGGGTGTCTCCGACAATATGGGGATGAAAAGGCGTTTGAATTTTCGTCTCCTGGTTTTAGTCTTTTGTAGATATATTTTCAGCGCTCTGACTGGACATAAGGATAAATCTTGTATATCCTGCGGACCAAGGATTGTAGATAATGCTGGGATGTGGAATTGTCTGTCCGGTTGACCTGGCAGTTGATTCTTAGCTTTGAAATCCCACCTCAATCCTAGATGAACCGTGTTGTGACGTGTGTCAAACCGTATCCGTTCAAAGTCCAGCGCATGTATTTCTGACATCCGCGCCGCTGTTGCCAAGGCGATCAGAAATAGCGTTTTCTGTGTAAGAAATTCGTAAGAAGTTCTATCTAGTGGTTCGTACACATCACTGGTGAGATGTCGTAATACCACGTTGAGATCCCAAGCCAGCGCTTTAAATTTCCTTTGTTGGTCTTCCAGTTTAAAAGAGCGTAGCAAGGCCAGTAACTCTGGCACTTTCGTCAGTTTCACGCCTGTCTTCATAGTGATAACTGAGCTGAGAGCCGCTAGGTATGTAGATAATGACGAACCTTTTAATTTCTTCATTTGTCTGAGATGACAAAGATATTCCGCCACTTAAGGATGTGTTGCTTTCACTGCAGTGAAACCTTTCCTCAAGGCATATTTCTCAAAGCTTTGCCACTTGTCGTCATACAAGTTACGAGTAGATCTGCGTAAAGCTAGTGTAACTGCTTTCGCTGCTCTGGCGGAGTATCCTCTTTTCGACAAGCAATTTGTGATACGTTCCATACGTGTAGGTGGAATAATCTGGGATACTTGTGAACTTGCTTGGTGTGAGGATGAATTAGTAGGTTCGACCAAACTGATAGTTGTATTGTTGGTTTTCCGATTTCTTGTAAGAGAACAGGAAGCCACGTTCTTGCTGGCCAGTAAGGTGCGACCAAAATCAGTTGTAGATTGTTTGTCTGCCTGATTTTCTGTAATACCTGTGGTATAAACGCTGGCGGAGGGAACGCGTACGCGTTTAGCCCTTCCCATGGGATGCTTAGAGCGTCTGTCGCCCATGCTTGCGGATTGGGAATTGGAGAGACGAATGTTGCCAGTTGATTGTTGAATCTCGTGGCGAATAGGTCTAAGAGTGGAGATCCTATCGTCTGTATGATGCATCTGAACGCTTGTGGATGTAACATCCATTCTGTTGGGGATGGTTGATGTGGTCGAGATAACGCATCTGCAATTACATTCCTGGCTCCCGGAATGTGACATGCTTTCACATAAATGTTGAGATTGTCTATTATGTTGAATAGTTGAAAGCTGAGGTCTAGAAGATTCCAAGATCTTGTTGATCCTTGTTTGTTTATGTAGAACGCCACTGTTGAGTTGTCCGTATTGATCATCAATTTTGCGTTCCTTAGTATGTTGGACCAATGTAGTAGGGCATTTACTACTGCTTTCATCTCGAGCATGTTGATATGCAGATTCATTTCTTGTTTTGACCATTTCCCGGCAACCACTTCGTTGTCGAGGTGTGCACCCCAACCGTGCAGTGATGCGTCTGCGTAGAGGTGGACGTTGCACTCCGGCTCTATTAAGTAATTTCCGCCGCAAACATTCGACTTCTGAGTCCACCATAGTAGATATGGTTTTAGCCTGTCTGGTATTTCGAAGGGATCCAGACTGTGTAAGTGGGCGTTCACAAATCTCTGTAGTGGACGCAGTTGTAGTCTCCCTCTGTGCGTCATGTCTTGAGCTGACGTGAGGAGACCTAATAGGCTCTGCCATTCTCGTAGTGGTAACGGAGAGAGTAGAACTTGAGAGATCATTTGTTGAATCTTGATCCAACGATCCTCTGGAACGAGAATGCGATTCTTCGTTGTTATAAGCAGTATTCCTAGGAATTTCAAGTCCTGAGTAGGCTCTAGTTCCGACTTGAGGAGATAAACTAGCCATCCTAGTTGAGTGAGAAGTCTGATGGTGAAGTTCAGTTGCAGTCTGAGTTGACTGGGATCTTGCTGAGCTTGAATCCTGTCGTCTAGGTAGAACGCACTGCGTAGACCTCAACGATGTAGATATATATTGATGGGCTTTGTCACTCGAGTAAACAACCAGGGGGCCGACGATATTCCAAATGGCAGGACCTTCCATTGGAAATGACGTCCGTTGAACAGGAATCGTAGATATTTCCTTGACTCCGGATGGATCGGGATGTGTAAGTATGCATCCTGTAAATCTATGCTGGTGAGATAGTCTAGCGGACGTATGAGCTGTCGTAGCTGTGGAAGATGTATCATCTTGAACTTTGCGGGTGGTAGGAGGTAATCCTTGTTGAATTTCCTCATGTTGTAGATGAGTCGGAACTTTTCTTTTCAATTTTTCTTTGGTACCAGAAAAATTGGGGAGTAGAAACCTGGTGTGACGCAGTGTTTTATCTCTTCTATTGCCTCTTTCTCTAGTAGAGATGTGATGGCTTCTAGTAGATTTCCCTTCTGGTCTGCAGCGTAGTTGTGAACCATTGGGTTGATTGTTACTGGTGGTACTGCTTGTAGCTGTATCCTGTAACCTGTGCGTCGAATCTGAGATACGAAGTCATCTTGAAGAATTCCCCAATTCTTCCAGTAGAGTTGCAGATGTCCACCCACTTGTGAGGGTTGTACTGGAACGACTGGGGGTGGAAGACTCCAGTTATTCCGATGCTGTATTTCATTGTCTGGAACTTCTGGCGCCTTGAAAGGGCCGACCTCTTCCGTAGTTACCTCTTCAAGCTGCGGATGGGCGACGAAAAGAATCTTTATTTCCTTTAGCGTTGCCTGATTTCTTATCCCTTGCTCTCTGGATGCCTGCAAACTTCGATTTGCCGGAATAACGTTGGGAGGTCTGACATATTACACCGGCCAGTGTATCGATAGACTTGATCATCATTACTTCTCGGGAATCTTTAGCGACTTCCTTGGCGACTTCATCAATTTATCCTGCAAAAATGGATGGTGCTGACCAACGGGCTCTGTAGAGTGTCTTGGTAAACTTCTCGCTCCAAGTACATGAAGATAACAGTCCTTGCCTTCTTGATAATGTTAAGCCTGCAGAAATGGATGATAGGTGTTCAGACATGAACTAATGATCCTTTTTCTGTGTAAGTAGAGCTGAATAAACCATTCTATCTTCCTCT